AGCAGGAAGGTCTGCAGGGAGCCGCTCCGGGGGAAGCCGGCCTTCTCCTTCTTGAACCTCCACGTCTCCTCGTCCACGGAGTAGAGCAGCGTGAGCATCCTGTTGACGGTGTAGACCGTGTCGCCCCTGATCACGGCGGTGAAGAGGGCTCCTTTGCTGTTCACGAACTGCCCGGGCAGGGTGGTCCATTGGCGCGAGGTGAGGTTGAAGCAGTCGATGACGCAGCGCAGGAAGTCGTCCGAGGGCCCGTTGCGCATGACGTAGAGGTTGTCGCGATGGGCCACCATGCAGTGCCCGTAGCTCTGCGGCCTCTTGAGGTCGGTGACGGGGAGCCACTCGTCCCTGCGCGCCTCGTACTCATAGACGACCGTGGTGTCCAGCGGCTTCCACAGGCAGACGAAGATCTGCCCCCGGGCTTGGGCGCAGGGGGGGGCGGCGCTGGGCTGCGGCAGGTCGGACACGAAGCTCCATGTCTTGGTGGCCATGTCGTATTTCTCCACAGACTTCAGCGCCATCTTCTCGTACTCGCCCCCTATGGCGTAGAGGTAGCCCTCGTGGCCCACGAGCGTGACGTCGTAGCGCAGCTGGTGCGGGCTGGCGAACTCGCTCCACACGTTGGTGTCGGCGTCGTAGCAGAAGCTGCTCTCCACCACCTGCTTGCTGGCTCCGTAGACGCCGCCCACGATGTAGATCTTGTTCTCCATGGTGGCCATGCCGGCTAGGAACGTGCTGGCCGTCAACGGGAGGCACGCCAGCGTCCGCCACGTGTTGCTCTCCTCGTCCAGGTAGCAGATGGTGCGGGAGAGGTCCTCGAGGAACTCAAAGGTTGGCGTGTGGGCGCCCACAGCGATGAAGGTGCTGGGCAGCAGCGCGCGCGCATAGGCCCGCAGCTCAGCGGGGAGGCCCTCCAGGCCCTCCTCAAGCTCCGCGTAGCTGTCCCTGCTGCAGAGCGCAGCGCTGTGGAAGAGCTCGCGCAGGCCGAAGACGGCCGCCGCGTGGTAGAGCAGCAGGCAGTTGTCCGAGTTGACGGAGTGCACCAGGTACCTGGCCAAGGGCCCGGCCTGCAGGAAGGCGGCGCATTCCACGGCCTCCACGTTCTCCTCACCGCTGAGCACGGGCCGCTCG